ACTGTTATGGAATAGATATATTTTGTATGTCAGAATGTTTAAACTAGATAGATACACACTTACACTGTTATGGAATAGATATATTTTGTATGTAAGAATGTTTAAACTAGATAGATACACACTTACACTGTTATGGAATAGATATATTTTGTATGTAAGAATGTTTAAACTAGATAGATACACACTTACACTGTTATGGAATAGATATATTTTGTATGTAAGAATGTTTAAACTAGATAGATACACACTTACACTGTTATGGAATAGATATATTTTTATGTAAGAATGTTTAAACTAGATAGATATACACTCAAGTGAATGATTCGATGAAGTTCTTACCTCATCACACTTTTCTTCGACTATAGTTCCAACCACAAGAAGAAGGTCCAGAAGTTCTGTTGTAAACAGTGGTTTGATTTCTGTCCCATCCTTTATCTCCTCGAGAACCTTGAATATTGTGAGCACAAGAGTAATAAGTAACCCAAAATTAATTCTGAAGGATCCGTCACAAAGTTACCGTCATAACAACATATCCCGTGCACGTATAACATTGGTTCTATATATAACCACTTTCAGCTTACCGAATTAAACCATTTTGGATGCAGCTTTTAATCTTAATTTTCTAAACAGTTTATTTGTGTGATTTTCCTCTGTTTAGTGCAGCACTTTGGGAATGAAAATAGTTTTATGTTATCTAAAAACATTCTCTTTTTACCCCTTCACCCAGAAATAATGACTTTAGATAAAACTTAAACTTATATTTTATCATTAAATACTTCGAAACGAGAATTATTGTATTAATTAACAAATACTAGGTTTATACTAGTTCAATTTTATTATAAAAATTGACACACTCACCTTGACAACACAAGAAACAAGTTCTTTACCAATTTTTAAAAGCTTGCCCTCTTTGATCGATGTTCCCTAAAATCATGCAAACGGAAAATTGTGTTACGTAAAAGTTCTTCCACGATGGATATTTATTTCAAACATTAAATTGAAATCAATCTTCAGCATATCAGTTGCATTTGCAGGGAATTTAAGCCTTCTTTTTTCTGCATTACTTAGCTGGTAACATTTAAGACTTCAAATCACCACAAATGTCACAATCACAACATTTTCATCAGTTTTTATTTTGGTTTATTCTTTGACATTTTAAAATAGTATGAATCAGAAACCAACGTGCGACTTTCTTTTAACGTATTTCACGGACATGCCAAACCTTTCGTAGCTATGCTTAAACAAAATCTAACAACTAGCAGAAGCACGGATCTTCTTTAAAAAACTACCAAACAAAATCTTGAGTCATATCTCAAATTGGTTCAAGGTCTTCTTGTTTACAAACAACTTGGCATAGCCCCAGTTATAAAGTTAGATACGGATTCTAGAATATGGTAGTGTTTGTTTAAACCGATAATAAATCTAGCTACTAAAACTAACAGTCTGATCAAAAACATGGAAGTGTGACAGTTTCTTCCACGAGATAATCTCTCTGTGTGTGTCGAAGACTAAATTTTTTAACCCTCGATTAGTTGAGTGGTAAAATGAAACGTACACGGTCACCTGGAGTCATTATAACTCCAACACAGTATTTAAATTATGATGAAGCTCAAACTATAACATCTTTTTTTGGTGTGCAAAATTTTATTTGTAATCAAAATAGAATAATAAGAGCCTTAGATTATGGCTTACAATATTAAAACGTATTGCAGTAAGTCCTTTTTTAGCCATCTATATAAAATAAAAGCCAAAGTGTTAATATGAAGATGTACAAGAAGTAATTAATCTAAAACAAATGATTAAACAGAGATATATAGAATTAGACATCGTTTAGCCATTAAACTAAGTAAAACACACAAAATCAAGTAAATTAAAATCACGGGAAAACAAACAATTATAATGCACGTTGGGTAAATATGACCACCATTTTAAAACTTTAAAAACCTACAACTGCAGAACAGTGATGAAGACTGCAACAAGGGCAGACACACAATTAAGGAAGCTACTGTGGGCGGGGCTAAGTAAAGTGCCATCTATCACATAATATTTAAATAAAGGTATTGCATGGGGTCATAAAGAACACAGCAACCAATTGAGGGTTAATGGCAATTATGTAAAACTCCTCAAGTGGAAATTATTAATAAACAGTCATATTAATTAATACTTAAGCTCAATATTATTAGAAGGTGAACGTAATGTGGAATTTTACCGAGTTAGTCATTCAGCGAAGGTGACTATAACTACATTAACCCTGGAAACTGTTCACTGCTCACCTTAGAATGTCGCAAACCAGTGGTGAGAATTCCTAGTATTTGTGCCCTTTTGAAAATTCTAACATCAGGGCTAAATCCATAAGTCTGCATAATAGATACAAAATCCCAAATAACCTCCTGAAAAAAATAAAACACGCTATTTTTAATACATACCGGCACTGCATCAAACTTTGTAAGTCTATAAAAACTTTCAAAACGCACTACAGAACTTCTTTTGAATACAAACAAATTGTACCACGGTGCTCAACCTAAGCCACGAGCACATAAAATATAAATGTTTTAAGAGTTGTTACAGTTTTATGAAACAGGTACTTACATTGAATAATTACTCACTTTTCACCAAACATAATTCATATAGTGTCTTAGATACTGGCTCAGACTTCATGTAACATTATCACAGATGAAGAGAATAGTAAACGTTATTAAATATAAATAAATAAGCCATTTATTTTTTTCATAGTAACCTAATGGATACTAATTTGATACCATCAGCCTAATATCCAGTTTAATGGATATTAATTTATTACCCATTATTTAACCGTATCTCGATGGGTCACGTGTCAAAGGCCACGTCATCGCATTTGTTGACTTGCATTCAAAATTTTATTGAACTACTATTTTATGAATCTATGTTAATAAGTTTGGTATCAAATTGTAGATTATAATTGAAATTTTAGTATTATACCTTAGTTAATTTCTTAATTTAAAAGTAAATATTAAAAAAAAAAAACACGGATAAACATTGATTTTTGTGTGCCGCGTGGTATGATGACTGGTTCAAATTAGATGTCAAAATACAAAATATACAGTTTTGTACGAATTAGGAACTCAAACTATCGATACTGACAAGCTAGAGTATAAAATAAGAATGTCTTATCTTTTCTATTTCCTAAGATATTGTTCCTGTACTGAATCAAAATAGTGGCCCCTCCTCTTTCCATTTTTGGAAATGATCCCTTATATACACTTACTTCTATATATGACATGAATAACCAATAAAAAGCTCAGAATGTGCCACTAGTGGTTTTCTCAGCCATTTTGACGTATTATTGTGTTAATCTCGTTCTTTTCACACAAGATTTCAAACAATAACGTAAGTCTTTAGCGAGTTCAATCAAATTTTTTTCAGACCCAAATACAGCTTAGTTAGTACACTTGATGAATGATAATAGAATTCTATGGTATCAATATAGTAATTTATGTTTTTTTGGTTATTTAAAATGTATATATAAAACCTAAAAAAATTTCTTTTTAAATCCTCCACATGGGAAATTTCATAAGGCTTAGCAACCTACGACAAGTCGCAAACGAGTACAAAGGTCGTTAACTAGACGATATGATTGTTTGCTTTAAATTATTTACTGTTCAATGTTTTAAGAAAAAAATAAGTTTAAGAGCTTATTTGTAAATAGAAATAATGTATAATAGTTAAAATGTGACTGTATTTTACAAAATACTAGTCCACTAAAACACAGCCAAGACAGATCACTTTGTAAAGACTACAGGTCAGTTATATATTATTGGATACAGTAACACGAGTGCACGTACACCTCGTTATTGTAACTTCTGTATTGTTAACGAGGCACGGTTGGAAAGTCAATATTATAAATATATATAAATGTATAACGTTATGATATTTAAGCTAGGTATACTAAAAATTTGTTTTTGGGTTATAATTTGTAGTCATTCTAGAACGAAAAAAAGCATAATTTATATTTTTTTCCTAATTTTTTATTGAGGTTACAAAATTGGTATCGAACCAACTCATACAAAAATACACTAAACTAGTTTTTTAAACAAACAATTTAATAATTATCTGGAGATTATAAAGATTTCGCACGTGGAATTTGAAAATGTTCTAATGCAGTAACGTATTTTTAATCTTAAAATTGCTTTGCATGTTGGATAGTCAACATTCTGAAAGAAAAAAGATTTATGAGAAAAACTTTAATTAAAAAATCTCAATGCATAATTTAAAATCCTGATATTTTTGTACGAAAACCTTGTAATGTTTTCCAATAACATGCAAAATTTTGTAAAGATGTGGTTACATTATGAAAAATCATAGTATAATTACTCGCATGGATACTTTCGTGGTTACGGGCTGCGTGGATTCCACCCAGTCCGTAATGGAAGGGTTAATGGACTTATTACCCGTTACAAGTATTCGTACTGTTTATTTGCACGTAATAGATACTCTGCACTTTTTAGAATGGACAGAATAATACAAACTTACAGGAATAGCACTTGTTAAGGAGCTGAAGATCTGGGGTCGATGATGCGTACCACTGAAGTAAAGAACAAAACACAAACAAATTACAGTTGCTCCCTACCAAACCACAAATTTACAGCATTTTTTCTTTTTTTATCAATTAATTAACCTCATCAGTGGTCAAATTCACAAACTCTAAATGAAATTAAGATCGACGTTGAAAAAAAAAATCAAGATAGAAAATGCTGTAAATGAAGTGACAACTCAGTTCACACATTAAAATGGTCCTTCAGTAAACGAAATTAAGAATTTGCATTGCATAATTACTAATAATTACATAATTGGTAATTACTAGAACTTTCAAATTCTGCAGATGTTTTAATCCAATCAGCTGTAGAGAACAAAAATTCTACACAATTCCTAAGATTACAGTCTTTATAAGAATATTAACGTCTCTTTTTTTTTTGACTAAATTTTCAACACTTTTCATTCAAGTACAATAATGTTAATTGTTTAAAGTTTACGATTCTCAGTATACCATAAAACCCCATAACAGGAAATAAACATTTCTATAAACATATTAACTGTACAGATGTAAATACTTTTTGATAGGAAATATTTCGCCAAACAAACAAACACGCAATGTGGAAAATCCTTCTAATACACAGTTAGTCTTAGTGGACTAGTGTTTAACAGGCAAATATAATAAAATCGATTTGTTTCACAAGAGATACTTCAATCAATGTCTACGGGGGGAGAGGCATCTATAAACTTTATAGCAACAAATGTTAATAAAACCAGAGAAATATGACAGATATTCAGAGCTAGTTAAGGTAAAAAAAAAGCACTTAACGGTAACTTACTTTTCTGTACAAAACTCTTGAAGCGCTTGCTGAAAGACCGGAACAAACCACTTCTTTTCTTTCTATTAAAGATTGAAAACACTGCAGAAAAATCCACCAAAACAACTAGATGAAAATGTAAGAATGCTAAATGATTTCTGTCACTTGATGTACGTTAAACGTAATCAATAGGAAATTCGTTGCACAACGTATTAGGCTTAACTTGGAGTTAATCTAAACATAACTTTTATCACAGTTTTAATTCATTTATTTTATTGAAAATATAAGTGATTATACAAAAAAAACAAAATGATAATAATAAAGTTGCAAAAAAATATCACTATATTACAGTCTTTAAATCCTCTAAACTGCAGAGATATTGGTAAAATGACAAACAGAACGATATAATACACCTCAAACATTTGAAGTAGCCATTTGTCGAATTTTCATATCACTTGATGGTGGCAATAGGCGAGTAATTAACTATTATTAATGCAAACTTTACCTTGTTCAGTGCTGTACTGTTTGTTCTTTTCTCAGATAACACCTGAAGAAACAAAGAAAACATCTGTTCTCACACAACACCTACAGTTATTTTGTAAAAAATGTCAGTTTGTATGCTTTAATATATTTCTGAGACTCCTTAAAAAATCTGGTGCTAAAAATATAAACAAGATGAACAATGTTATTTACTTGCATGTGTGTGTATTATACTTAATTTGTAATTTCAAAATAATATATATCAGAACTGGGCAACTAATGGAATACTTCTTTCAGCTCATTATTCATTTGTGTTCAATTAATCATTTATTCTCACATGAGATGGCAAAAAAAAAAAGGAATTATAATGTCAAAAATAGAGTTTTGATACCTGCAGTGGGCAGACAGCCCATTGTGTTTAACAATAAATAAAGACAAGGCAATAGTTGAAACAATGAAAAATAGTAATAATTTGAAATCCTAATTACGATCAGTTCCTTACTTTGCTGAATCACGACTAACTGAATCAAAAACAATAATGAAACATCATAATGGCAATATTTTGATTACTGAATAGTTGGAATAATAGGAATTGGAAACAAGTTGATTATTTTTGTAAAAATAATTTATTTAATTGTAATTTTGATTAATCAATTATTTTATGTAACGATAATTGATGATTATCAGTAATTGAGTATCTCAATTAACCAAGTTAATCGCCTAGCTCTGTTGTACATAGATTTCGTTGTCAAGGCTAACAATACTTTTCTTTTGAATACATCAGTAAGAAGTAAACAGTATTTTAAAATAGAAATAGTACACTCATACGAAGAAATATACCAAGAACTGGTATTTTTTCTCAAGATTGTTATGGATTTCTAATATTATTAAAAACTTACGACATAAACTGCCAGGCTTCCAAGAATTTGTGATAATTCTGGTTCTGTTACTGGAAAATTTAAGAGAAACTCTAGTTAAAAGCTGAGTTAATCTAAACATTCTGCAGGTAGATACACACATGCATACACTTACTAGTTAAAACGTGTATTTCGTAAACACAATAAATTACTCTAACTGCTTTTAGCTCCAGAGATGACCACCATCTACTTTTATTGTTATATTAATAGGGTTAAAGGTGAGACTAAAGGATTAAAAAAAACACAACTTTAAATAGCAGATGGTAATGAAATGACTTAAAAATCAGTTATAATAACGAGGCATAAAATATGTGTCGTCTGTATACAGATTTTTAGCCTAAGTAGATACCATGAGTCACGAGATATAAACACAGATGTTCTACCTTTTCCAGTCTTCGTTAAGAGTTCACTGAGAATCTGTAAACACGTGTTCCTATCAACACCTTCTGTTGAACTAAACTGTCAAGACGAGAAAAAAAAAACGGTTCTAGAAAACTGTTTCAAACAACGTTGATTAAAAATCACAAGATAAAATTAATTGGCACATTCTCAGTTAATACACTGAAAACGTCAAGCCACATGTTAAGCGTGGCTAAATTATGTTTAGAAATATCATTATTATTAAAAGATGTTGAACAGGAGATGCTTTCAAAATATTAACAACACACAATTACTGAAATTGGAAATACTTAACAAACCTGCATAAAACAGCATCTAGCTCATGCTTAAATAAATTCATATAATTTGATTTAGTTTTTCTATAATTCTTTAGATTGTGAAGTTTAAAACATTTTGTAGTGAGTCACTCTTTTGAAAAAAATAAAAATAAAATTTGCTAATAATATTCTTCATTAAGAATCAATTTATATTTAATAAAACAGTTTCATTCAATTTATAGATCTTTTTTTTTACTATGATAATCTTAACAACAATATTCAATAAATAAGGATGTCATCGTTCGTTGAATTTCACGCAAAGCTACTTGAGAGTTATCTGTCCCAAATTTTGATGTGATAGATCTGAGGGAAGACACTAGTCAAGATTATCTCCTGCCAACTTGCGGGATAATTTAAAATTGAATAGAGGGATTTGACCATCACTTCTATAACGCATCTACAGCCCCAGTAACGGGACACAAGCCACAGAACCTTGGGCTGTGCTCATCCCCCCAATAAACAAGGATACGAGTCACTGGAATATTTTGCCATAGTATACCATACTCACTAAATCCAACTAGCATCTTGTCAGAGATGACAATTTCTGAAACTTTCAAAAGATAAAACTTAATATCAAAAAAATTTTCAGAAACAAAAAGAATGTTTAAAGAAACTATAAGAAAATCCCAGTTCTATGGTTTGTTCTAAGTTTAAACAGGATATAATTTGTGTCTCATTTAGTTGTTGGTTCTCGCTGTTTTCAAAGTAGGCTTCTTCAATAATTATTCAGACCATATGTTATGACATCATAGAAGGGTGATAATAAAGAGGCCTAGTAATAAAATCACTAACAGAAAATCACATGAAAAAACAAACAAAAAACTAATGGTAAGTGTACTAATTGCCAGCAAGACTCCTTATAGGTGTGTAGAAATTAATGTTGGGACAGGACACTTTTTTAAATAAATTTTCCTTGCAAATTTCACTATATAAATGTTACATAATGATAAAATACCAATTCTAAAATATTTTTTATGTTAAAAATTGTTGAAATAGGGATAGAATTATAATTTTTACTTTGAAATACAATTATGCAGACGCACAATCGACATCTGAAAGATGCTCCGTGACCTTACAATCGGTGCACGTGCGCTATCTTGTCACTTCCCGGTCAACAGTCACTTTTTAATGGATAAAATAATATTCACTAATCATGTTTGGTTAAAAACAAAAGATAAACTATAAACAAACTGATTAAACTCAGCAAGAGCACGGTACCTTACACATCGTATGTTAGGTACTAACAGTTTTAAAATTGTCTCCCTACGTACTTTTCTAACGTGATTCAATACTTTCAGTGCTTGTTTAGCTTTCACCATCAGGGGTTGCTGGTGGTTATGTTGCAAGCCAAATTCGGCAGCAGCTACAAGCGGAAGAATAGTTTGAAGCACCAATGATAAGCTTGGTTCTGACTTCAGGAATGTGATAATGAGGTCCAAACACCTGAAGAAAAAAAAAATCAGATGTAAGAGATGGGAAAAACCTTTACAAACAAATAAG